CATTTTAACCATCTTTCCAGAAATGTTTATCACTTAAGTCTTGAAAGAGGAGTCTACAAATTTCCCAATGATTTTGTGAACCATTTAAAACCTTGCAACGTCTCTTTCTGCCTAAGTTTTCTAGAATGAATTCTTTTCCCCAAAATAAAGTCCTAAAAGATATAGGCTATTGGAGTATATTTGACATAGATATTAGGTAAAAAGTCTAAAAGTCTATCCATGCATACAACTATTATAATGAAAACTGAAGGAAGGAAGGCAAATCAATTTGGGGTATTAGAGTTTCTGTGTGGACCTGAGATGCCTGGGTGGCTCAGTTGGTTAAGCGTCTGACTTTGGCCCAGGTCATGATCTCACGGTTCGTGAGTTTGAGCCCTGCGTTGGGCTCTGTGCTGACAGCTCAGAGCCTGGAGCCTGCTTTGGATTCTGTGTCTCTCTCTCTGCCCCTCCCCTGCTCACACTCTGTCTCTCTTTCTCAAAAGTAAATAAACATTTTTTTTTTAAAAAAGAATTTCTGTGTGGGCCATATTTGAAAATTACTGTTGATTCAACCCATATATAATTTCAAAGGGTGCTTTGGTATGTGCTCATCTTTAACAGAAAAACTCAGGGAAACATGACAAAACAAACCAACTCTAACGACCTTAAGTTCAGAAATTTAAGTAACAACAGGCTAGTGAAATAACTTCATTCTACCTTTATAGCAGCTTTCTGCAGCCTTTTCCTGATCAAGATAAATTAAACATATACTCAAGTTTGGTTTTTCTACAACTTCAATAATTATTTTTCCAAAGTGGAAAACCTATACATTATTTAAAAAACCTGTTGAATACATTAGAAATAACACAGAACTGAACATTTTTCAAGCAAAGTTAGGGCAGTCAGTAATAAGCTTACACACTTTCCTGGTCATAGAGGAGTAAAAGCTAGAACCCATTCTTCTAAGTATTGTTGTTAGAAACACTAATTTAATTATTTGAAATAAAACCTAAGCACTGAAAAAAACAAAAACAAAAACATGTCAATGTGAGTATCCCGAAATCCTGAAGAGAATCTGGATCAACAACAAACTTTTGACCAGATGCCAATAAAGTCTTGTTTTCTTAAGACAGGAAACTGGACATTTTCTTCTCTTGTTGAACTTAAATTTTCCATGAACTATACTGTGTAGTTCGATCACAAACAAACCCCAATAATAGGATCACACACTATTTTAAATCCATACATATGACACTCTGGAATCAGAAGTAAAAGCCTCATGCAGATGGCACCGGGGTAAATTGTTAATTAGTGACCCCAGACCTGCTCTTTTCTAGGACTCTTATTTTTTCCTGGTACTGTTATTAAGAGGGCACAAAATTCAAATAAAAACTATTTGCCTTTTCAATGGCAATAGTTAGCTAGCTAAAGATATAAAAAATAATTGGTTTGTAATAGATTGAAGATGTAATGCTCTAAAATCTTTTAAAATTCTCAACTTCCTACTCCTGTGTGATCAGTGTCATGGAAACAGATGTCTGACTCCAGATTTAATTTCTCCCATCCCTGCCATAAGGCATATATCACCTAAACACAAACTCTCACCAACAAATTTCTCTAGTGTTTCTTGGGTCCTGAAAGCCTGATTTTTTTTTTTTTTTTTATTTGGCCTTCTTGCATTTTATTCCATCATACTGGTACTTCTGATTTTCCAGACACATGGAATGGTAGGCACTGTGGATTGCATTGGATGTCCAAGGATTGGGTGGAATGACAGTATTGTGATGTTGGTTAGGACGCAGAATACGGCTAGAGATACATCTTGCCCTTGCACCATAATGTACCAATTTAAGGCTCATCTCTTAAGCATTATTATGAAACACTTAGGGATAAAAAAAGCGTAGACTGCATTGCAATCAACACGTGTATTCACATCATGCAGTTTAAGATATGACATTTCAGCCTTTTCTCCCTTGAGGAATTTCCTCCCCCACATTTGATGCTTTTCACTTCCATTCCATAGTCGTTTATTACACATGTCCCCATAAACAACATATATTATTTTGCATGCCTTAAACTTAAAAAAAATTGCAAGTATTCTTCCAAAATGTTCTTTTTGAAATTCTTGTTTTCCATGTAGCTCTAATTACTTTTACTGCCATAAGTACAGCAATGTGTATGTATTGGGTAGAAATCCATTCTCTGACTGATGGATAGATTGTTTCCAGTTTCGTACTCCTTAGAAATAATGGTGCTATGATTTTCTTATTTGTGACCTCATTGTAAAAAACTTGCTCTGAGATATACACCAAAGAGAACACTTAATTTATAGAATCTTCAACATTACTAGATATGCTAGCTGGCTTTCCAAAGTAGCTGTACCAATTTATGCTCTACTAGCAGAGTGTGAGGCTCTAGTGATCCACAACCTTGGGGATTATACACTCTGCAAGCAGGGTTTTAGCTGTTGGAATCCTCTGTGGCCTGGGTGAGGATATGTTCTCTGACTACTGCAACTGCTAGTCACTCCAAGGATATCTCCAAGGATGTTTTCATGTTAATTTTTAGATGTCAAGTTTCCGTATCACAAAGGTGGTGCGAATTCAAGCCTGGAACCTGTGGTCAGGTAAGCTTGTAGTCAGAATTCTCAGAGGAGCCTCTTTTTTTGTTTAATCCAAAGCACAGACTTAAGTCAAGAGGGCTCCCTGTGACCTCTCTTGCCAGCAGAAGAATTTCTTTTCTAGTCTGCCCTTACACTGAAGGTGTTGGTCTTTAATGACCTGGGCATTCTATATGAGGGTCAGTTATAACTTTGTACATCACATGGGTTGAAGGGTCTAAGTGGCCATTAACATCTGAACTCCTTATTGAGATCACCACCTTCCTCCCCACCACCCAGCTTCCAGCTTGAAAGCCCGTGTCAGGTGAAGCTTGCTGTTCCGATTTTTATTTTATTGGCAACAATAATTTAAAATTTTTTCTGTTTAGGCCTTTGGGGATAGGTTTTTCTTTTATTTATTTTGCGCCCTTGGCACTTAGAGGGAAGAAGTTATGGTCCTCTAATAACTGAAGGGAAAATGGGAAGCATAAAAGTAATTTCGAGGTCCTATTTATTTCATTGAGTAAGGCTTCTATTCTAAATCAGCAGAAACCAACAGAACGTTCTGAGTGATGGAAGTGGTCTACAATTTATTCTGTCCACATGGCAGACATTTACCACACATGACTACTGAACACCTGAGATGTGGTTAACGTGTCTGGTGAACTAAATTTTTAATATTATTTAATTTTAATTCATTAAAATTTAAATTTAAGTAGTCATATGTGACTAGTGTCTATTTGACAACAGAGCTCTAAATAGTAGTAATATTCTTTGTCCCCTGGTGATTTCGTGTATATACTAATAAACCAATGTAGTCTGGGAAAAAAACGCCTTGCAAATCTATTTTTGATAGTCAAAGGATAAGACAGTTGAGACATGACTTCAGAATATCTACCACCACAAAACTGTATAGTCCTATTATTTTGATAATCAGGTATTTCTTGCCTGACTTGTCTTTCTGGAAATTTTCAAAGATCTAGGGCACATTCTTTCCATTGCCAGTTTCTGAACTGGAAGTCGGGGAATCGATTTCCGACAGTTTTTCAAAGATATTTATAGAATATTAAAGTGTCAAGAAATTCAAAAGATAAAGAATTAAGAGCAAAAATACATATATTTAAAATGCAACATAAGAAAATATGACTAATAGTACAATTAATTTGGTTTATCTTTGAAATGAAAAAGTTTATTGGTAACCTGAAAATGTGTGCAAACTCAAAACATGAACATACAATTTATTTATAGTATTTTATGAAACAAAACAAAACAAGTCTATTGCTTTAGGCCTGAACTGGGCTTATGTTTCCAATTAAAAAAAATTTTTTTTAATGTGTATTTATTTTTGAGAGAGAGAGAGAGACAGAGACAGAGACAGAGCACAAGTGGGGGAGGGGTAGAGAGAAAGGTAGACACAGAATCTGAAGCAGGTTCCAGGTTCTGAGCTGTCAGCACACAGCCTGACATGGGGTTCAAAATCACGAACCGTGAGATCACGATCTGAGCCGAAGTCAGACACTTAACCGACTGAGACACCCAGGCGCCCCTATGTTTCCAATTTTTTAAACTTGGCAAGGGGGATTACATGAAATAACTCTCAATTCTCTCTCTCTCTCTTTTTTTATTGCCATAAGTAGAGATTAAGAAGGCCAAAGCAAACATGTAGGTGTGAATTATAATGAAAACAAATACATATCTAGAAACAAGGCCACAAAAGTTTGGTTTGTGCATTTGTCTATTCCACTGGCTGGCCTTTAAAAATAATGGTCTGTAAATATTTCTCACTAAGGATTAATCCACACCCATTTTCTTTTACTTATTTATTTAGAGAGAGGAGCAAGTGGTGGGGGGAGAGTGAGAGAAAGAGAGGGAGGGAGGGAGAGGGAGAGAGAGAGAGAGAGAGAGAGAGAGAGAGAGAGAGAGAGAGAATGAATCCCAAGCAGGCTCCACGCTGGCAGTGCAGAGCCCTATGTGGGACTTGAACTCACAAACTGTGGGCTGAAATCAAGAGATGGACACTTAAATGACTGAACCACTTAGGTGCCCAACCACATGCATTTTCTATGTTCTTGTATAAAACTGAGGCTCACAGGCTGGGCATTTAGTAATGCAGTGAAACAGATTCTGGAGTGAGGAAAGCATTTCATGAGATGAATAAACTAGGTCAAAAATGAAAAAGCTGAAGTTTGCTCTTTAAAACAGCACACATTTCCAGATAAAACTGACTTAAAGTTGTGTCCAAAGATTTTCATGGACATTTTCATTGTATCCATGATTTAAAATGTCTTTAAACACTGAAGCCTCTCAATTTCAGACATTTTGCTTATGAGAGGTTTTTTTTGGACACTCTCAAGACAAAATTTTAAAAAGAAACAAGTTTTCTCTAGAAAGCATTTTTAGCATACTGAACATGCATACTTTCTCAGAGTGTATGTAGCCCGCTCTTCTCCTGATACTCTTCATAGAAACGTCTCAATGATTTAGGAATTCTGGGTGTCACAGTGCTCAAGGCTTGAGTAAAATGTCTTCTCATAATGTGGTTGGCTTGAATGTCTTCTTCCAGAGCCAGAAGAGCCGCCTCTCTACAGACAGCTATAATCTGAAGCAAAACATACAAAAACAAACATACAAAACAAAAAAGGGGAGAGAAAAGACAATCAATATTTCAATGGATTCAACTGAATATATTTCAAATATTCATCCGTGGTAACTGCTTCAACTATAAGCACCCTTGCCAACATTTATCTTCATGGTTATTCCACTTCAGTTTTCAAAAGGACAAAAAGTAATCGTCTTCATTCCAAAACCATGTAGTAAGTACTCAGAATCAGGAGCAGCAAAAAGATATATAAGATATGGCATTCGTTCTTAAGAAGCCCACAACTGATAAAGGTGGAACAGACACACAGGCACATACTTCTAATACAAGATGACAAAAGATGAGTGTGTATGTGTGGTGGGGGCAGGTAAGAACCAAGTGATAAGGGGGTGAGGGCAGAGGAGGGAGCTACTCCGATATACAGTGAAGTCCTGCGCATCAGCGCACCTTGTCATGGCATAGAATTTCCACATTACTTTCAACCTTTGATGTATTACCGACATGTAAAAGCATTTCTTTATGTGCATCTCTTGAACAAGTTCTTAAATCTTGGGAATATCAGATAGAGTTTTCTAAGTTTACTTTGGAGAGCTGCTTTAGAACAGAGAAGTGAATTTTGTTTACTCAGTGAGGAAAGCTGCGAGAATTGAAAAGAATCTGGGGAGGGGGTGGAATGGATGCAGAAGGAGGGAGGACAGAGTGGGCGGTAGGAAAACGGAAGGGGAGGAAGGTTCAAGTCTTGAATCCTGAAATGTGTTTTTAAGCTCTCTGGACTTCAGACAGCGGAAGCAGGCTGATGCCAGTGTCATTCTAAAGACACATTACTGTGGTGAAAAGAGCTTGTGGGATGAAAAGAGATATTGTGATTTTCAGGGCAACAGGGAAAACAGTGATTGATACTGACTGCACCTTTATATCGGTAAATGAAAGGGCCAGCTGAAACACATTTGTCCAGCCATTCAGCATATTTTCTCTGTTTGTTCACTTACTGAAAAGAGTTCCTCTGCTTATGCTGGGCTAATGGCTGCCAAAGCAGTTTAGTAGCTTTTTAGGGGATTTAGCAGCATGTTTAGGGAGCTTTCAAAAAACTTGCATAGATTTAGATGGCTTTGTCAAATTACGACAATGTAACTATTAGTTCTGGGCTTCATTAATGAGCACTGAAGTTGACTATAGTGCTTATGCATGTTAATGCTTTTCCAAAAAGAGTGGCTACCAACTTGTTGAAGGAAAAAAACAAAACTTCCAGGGCTTAGTAAAATAACTTCATCACATATACTGGTGCAGAGAGAGTTATTTTGAAAACAAGATATAATAATTAATAAGCACAGTAAAAGCACATGAAATGCCTAGCATGGTAAACTGGCTATCCAATGGTTCCACTCTGTTCCAAAGGGACCTTGAGGACCTCCACGAAGGGAGGAAAAAGGAACAAAGTGGAGAAAAGCCTTCAACTCCTTCCTTCCCTCCATCTCAGCAGCACTGTGCCTGCAGAATTTGAGCAATGAGCAACACCCAGCAGAAAAGTCTGAAGGATCAATGGAGAGCAGAAGGCCCTACCGACTTTCCTGCTGGCTGGTGGACTTCTAGCTCTTCATCTGAGACAGTACAGGGAATGTTTCCATCATGTGGGTCCTTTCCCATGCTAAGTGGAGTACAGAAGTCACCAGTGCCATGTCTTGCACACTTCATAACTGAGACTTACCTCAAAGAATACTGGATCCAGTACATAATGGCTACAGACATTTACTGAGTACCTACCCCATGTGCTAGACAATGCTAATGGCAGTACTAATTAATTGCTATGTGAACACTCCCCGCCCCGCCCCTCGATTTTGTATAATTCAGGGATCCCACTAATAGTGTACAATATCTGATGGGAGCATGGCAAACAGAGTGGCCAGATAAACACAGTAAGCTGGTGGGGGGGTGGGTAGGGAGGTTGGGTGGAGGAAAGGGAGAGGTGACCACAAGGCTGTCTGGAACCTCTCCAATTTCCTGGAATTTGGTTCACATGGCCAGACAGTGAGTAGCTCACACTGCTGGTACATCTGAGAAAGAGAACTAACAGTCTAGTAGGCTTCCTCTCTCAATATACAGTAATCAAACTGGGAGAAGAAATGGTTATACTCCTCTAATCATCAGAATCTCAGATAGCCTAACAAGGCATGGTAGAGAAATGTAGGTAATGGGAAGTGACAGGTCACTGAGGCCTTGAAGGCTGTCCTTAGGGTCAGCAACCCTGAGCAATTCCTCTTGCAGATCAACTTTCTTTCCTTCACATCTCTGTCTATAGATTTTCCTAAGCTATAAATTGCTTTTTGCTTTTATGTGGCAGCTTCCAGGACAGTGATGGGGGGGCACTGGTGGCGAGATGTGGTCAGAGCAGTAACAGCCACTTGAAAGCTGGATGTTTGTAGCTTAGAGCCTCCAGCATATGTTAACACTCAAGAGTAATTCCCCTACTATATTTAGGACTGGCCTGACCCTTAATTAACAATTCCATCCAATTTGGAGAACTACAAAATTGTGAGGTATAGAAAAGTTGGACAGAGTTTTGATGAGAGCACTAACAATGTTTGCGTTAGAAAGAGATGCCCTGTAGAACCTTTGAGAGACAATGACAAGGGAATCAGAGCAGCTGAATCCTGGTATTCAGATGCCACATAGAAAGGTGTCTTCCTCTGTACAGAAGACAGATCACAGTTGTTAGCACTTCCAGAGTGGCAGAAGGATTATGTGAATTCAACACTTGCTTCGATAAATGTTTTCCTGTTTTATATTATTTATCAGGGATGCTCTGAAGAACCAGTCAATTAGGCAATACTTTCTACCATTTTTATTTTCCTATCATATTTGCTTAGCAACACACAACTAGTAATTGAGAGGAAGTAAGACACTATAAATCATTAACCAGTCACTCTTTCATCAATCAACATCCACTGAATAACTACTCTGTATAACAACTAGATGAGGCCCAGTAGAGGATTCAGAGATGTCCAAGCTGTGGTATCTGTCTTCTGGTACTCTCAAACCAGTAGGGAATGAACATCAATTGTCCAATGTGGCATGGTATTAGAGGTACTGTTAAGCAAGGCAAAAGGAAAAGTGCTTTGGTATGGAAAGAAGAGAGAAATTACTGCTTCATAAACCGAACTGGGAAGGACGGAATTTAGATATACGTATAGGGGAGAAAAGGGCATTCTGAGCAGGAGGGATAAAGTGAGCAAAGAAACAGCAAGGTGGGGAGAAAGAGACCAGAGATTGTACTCTTCCAGCCTCAGTAGCCAAAATGAAGAATTTAAAGAGAGAGAGAGAGAGCGAGAGAGAGAGAGAGAGAGACAAGATAAGTTCTGTCATCAAAATGTCACTAAAAATAACAATGATAGTTTTCAGAAGTCATGTGGGCCATAATGACAGTGAAGGGTAGTCAATGGCAGTCATCTCTAAATCTCTAAACCCAATTCACAAGCAGTTGATGCACAAGCAGCTGATAGAGAATAACTCCTAAAGGCTCCTTTGTTTTTATTTCTTCCTCATGAAAGAGCTTCTTAGAAATTCCAAAATGAAAGCATTAATTGGATTATTGATTCTCTCTTAACCCAAATAGAAAGGTAGGTGTGAAAATGGAAGTATTCTTAGGAGGCTCATTTCATGATGGGTGGTTTCTATTTGCTCTGGGGTCACTTACTTTAGCATGAGTTCCAAAGATACCATACTTCCCAAGAAAAGTGCAGCTTGCTCTCAGGGCCCCTGCCAGCATTTGCCCTGCCATATTAATGTCTTTTCAGAGGAACAAGTATTTTGTGATCAAGTTTTAGGTAACAGTACATATATTCTGTTTCCCACAATACACAGAATTGCCCTGGTTTTGGCAGAACACCTATAAGTGGCTATCTCTTGAATTACTGGTGATCTTCAGCAAACGTTCTCGAAGGTGTTAACCAATACAAAACAATTCAATAAGGACACAATATGGCTTTTGCCTATTTCATAGCCTTTTTTTTTTTCTTTTGCTCTCTCCTATTCCAGAATGGAGAAAAGAGGGCAAGGGAGAAAAAAGATACTGGAGAAGGACCAGTCTGTTTAATGGGGTCAAAAGGCAGCAGCCACAGCACACATTTGGGTTCTGGAGATATAAATGGTCAATGCATATTTGTTGAATCGAACTGAATAGTTCCTTAACTATAAACAAAGTTTCCAAAAAGTACACATTATATGTATCTTTTTCATATTTGGTCTATATCCTATAATATTTTAATCTATGTTTTATATAACCTACATTTTTGTCAGTTGTACTTTGTCAGTTACATTAGTAACAAGAATTGTTTAACACTGTGATATATGTTGTCTTAAGCAATGATTTAGTCTGGGGACCTACTTTAAATCTAGTTCCTTCCTAGAAGTAATAGAAATTAGAAATTTTATCAAGAATACAAGTATGTCTGTGTTATTTTGAGGGAAGCTTCCTGAGGTATCAAAATTTGTTACATAGGGACGGGAATGTTTTTGCTGTGTTGTCATGGGAAAAACTGTGCTGTAATGAAGAAACATGCCTGAAAATTTACTAATAATGCAGTAATTTATATTAGGCTAGGGGACTGAAATGGAAGCTTTGGTGGGGGGGGGAGAACCCCAAAATTGTGCAAATGGTGATCTTTTGTCCCATTTGATGAAAATAACCTGGTATCAATCAACTGTTGATGGATTTTCTTTTCTGTATTAAACTCTGAAAGAGTGAGGTCTTTTTTAGATTAAATTTGCCAATACATCTCTCTTTATTTGGGATTGGATACTACAGAAACTGACAAGGGCTTTTAACTTCAAGTGGGAGTTTTCTCATTACTATCTCTAAAGTTTGTAAGAAAACCTAATGAGATAAGTATGCATATGCATATATATATATATATATATATATATATATATATATATGGATGCCAGGAGAATGATGAGTTGTGTGGTCCCTGTATACACTGTATATACTGTGTGTGTGTGTGTGT